ATATCACAACGGACACTACAGAAATACAGAAGATAATTAGAAATTAGATTGAAACCCTATATTCCAATAAAATAGAAGATAGTGAAGATATCGATAAATTTCTTAAGTCATATGATTTGCCCAGATTGAGTCAGGAAGGTACACACAATTTAAACAGACCAATAACAAAGGAGGAAATAAAAGAAGCCATCAAAAGACTACCAACCAAGAAAAGCCCTGGACCGGATGGATATGCAGTGGAGTTTTACAAAACCTTCAAAGAAGAATTAATACCAATACTTTTCAAGTTATTTCAAGAAATAGAAAAAGAAGGAGATCTTCCAAATTCATTCTATGAGGCCAACATCACCCTGATCCTGAAACCAGACAAGGACACTTCAAAGAAAGAAAACTACAGACCAATATCTCTAATGAACATAGATGCAAAAATCCTCAATAAAATCCTGGTGAATCGAATACAAAAGCATATGAAAAAAATTGTGCACCATGATCAAGTAGGATTCATCCCTGGGATGCAAGGCTGGTTCAATATACGGAAATCAATAAATTTTATTCACCACATCAATACACTTAATGATAAGAACCACATGATCATCTCGATAGATGCAGAAAAAGCATTCAACAAAGTACAACATCCCTTTATGTTCAAATCACTAGAAAAACTAGGGATAACAGGAACTTACCTCAATATTGTAAAACTATATATGCTAAGCCTCAGGCTATCATTATTCTGAATGGAGAAAAACTGAAGGCATTCCCTCTAAAATCTGGAACAAGACAGGGATGTCCTCTCTCACCACTTCTATTCAATTTAGTTCTTGAAATACTAGCCAGAGCAATTAGACAGACAAAAGAAATTAAATGCATAAAAATAGGAAAAGAAGAACTTAAATTATCACTATTTGCAGAAGACATGATTCTATACCTAGAAGACCCAAAAGGGTCTACAAAGAAACGACTAGAATTAATAAATGAATTCAGCAAAGTGGCAGGATATAAAATCAACACACATAAATCAAAGGCATTCCTGTATATCAGCGACAAATCTTCTGAAATGGAAATGAGGACAACCACCCCATTCACAATATCCTCAAAAAAAAATAAAATACTTGGGAACCAACCTAACAAAAGAGGTGAAAGATCTATACAATGAAAACTACAGAACCCTAAAGAGAAAAATAGAAGAAGATCTTAGAAGATGGAAAAATATACCCTGTTCATGGATAGGAAGAACTAACATCATCAAAATGGCGATATTACCCAAAGTTCTCTATAGGTTTAATGCAATGCCAATCAAAATCCTAAGGGCATTTCTTGTAGAAATTGATAAAGCAATTATGAAATTCATATGGAAAAACAAAAGACCCAAAATAGCAAAAGCAATTATAAGCAGGAAGTGTGAGTCAGGCGGTATAGCGATACCAGATTTCAAACTATACTACAGAGCAACAGTAACAAAAACAGCATGGTACTGGTACCAAAACACGCGAGTGGACCAATGGTACAGAATAGAGGACACAGAGACCAATCCACAAAATTACAACTTTCTTATATTTGATAAAGGGGCTAAAAGCATGCAATGGAGGAAGGATAGTATCTTCAACAAATGGTGCTGGGAAAACTGGAAATCCATATGCAACAAAATGAAACTGAATCCCTTTCTCTCGCCATGCACAAAAGTTAACTCAAAATGGATCAAAGAGCTTGATATCAAATCAGAGACTCTGTGCCTGATAGAAGAAAAAGTTGGCTCCGATCTACATATTGTTGGGCGGGCTCCAAATTCCTTAATAGGACGCCCATAGCACAAGAGTTAATAACTAGAATCAACAAATGGGACTTACTCAAACTAAAAAGTTTTTTCTCAGCAAGAGAAACAATAAGAGAGGTAAATAGGGAGCCTACATCCTGGGAACCAATTTTTTACTCCTCACACTTCAGACAGAGCCCTAATATCCAGAGTATACAAAGAACTCAAAAAATTAAACAATAAGAAAACAAATAACCCAATCAACAAATGGGTCAAAGACCTGAACAGACAGTTCTCAGAGGAGGACATACAATCAATCAACAAGTACATGAAAAAATGCTCACCATCTCTAGCAGTCAGAGAAATGCAAATCAAAACCACCCTAAGATACCATCTCACTCCAGTTAGATTGGCAGCCATTGTGAAGTCAAACAGCAACAAATGCTGGTGAGGATGTGGGGAAAAGGGTACTCTTGTACATTGCTGGTGGGACTGCAAATTGGTGCGGCCAATTTGGAAAGCAGTATGGAGATTCCTGGGAAAGCTGGGAATGGAACCACCATTTGACCCAGCTATTGCCCTTCTCGGACTATTCCCTGAAGACTTTAAAAGAGCGTACTACAGGGATACTGCCACATCGATGTTCACAGCAGCACAATTCACAATAGCTAGACTGTGGAACCAACCCAGATGCCCTTCAATAGATGAATGGATTAAAAATAAGTGGCATTTATACACAATGGAGTATTACGCAGCACTAAAAAATGACAAAATCATGGAATTTGCAGGGAAATGGATGGCATTAGAGCAGATTATGCTAAGTGAAGCTAGCCAATCCCTAAAAAACAAATGCCAAATGTCTTCTTTGATATAATGAGAGCAACTAAGAACAGAGCAGGGAGGAAGAGCAGGAAGAAAAGGTTAACATTAAACAGAGACATGAGGTGGGAGGGAAAGGGAGAGAAAAGGGAAATTGCATGGAAATGGAAGGAGACCCTCATTGTTATACAAAATTACATATAAGAGGTTGCGAGGGGAATGGAAAAAAAACAAGGAGAGAAATGAATTACAATAGATGGGGTAGAGAGAAAAGATGGGAGGGGAGGGGGGATAATAGAGGATAGGAAAGGTAGCAGAATACAACAGTCACTAATATGGCATCATGTAAAAATGTGGATGTGTAACCGATGTGATTCTGCAATCTGTATTTGGGGTAAAAAATGGGAGTTCATAACCCACTTGAATCTAATGTATGAAATATGATATGTCAAGAGCTTTGTAATGTTTTGAACAACCAATAAAAAAAATATAATAAAAAAAAGTGAATGGCATGCATCTGCAAACCCCAACAAACTGGAAACTCCATGAGGGTAGGAATTGTGCTTTAATTATCATTGAAAACTCTTACTTTTTGTTATCTCAAGTCAGACACTGAGATGAAGACTTGATCCCAGATAGTTGATGCCAAGAGACACATGTGACACTTGAGGAAAGTTGAGATAGGGAAGAAGAAAAGGTAAAAATGGGTTCATAAATATGTTGCCATTTGTGGGCAACTGGAGCTCAGTCCTGTTGGGGGGTCCTCATCCTCTTATTAATTATATATATAAAACACCTCAGAATTACCTCTTGAGGTATGGGAAGCTGAAGTTTTTACCCACTAATTCCCATCCCTCATTGGATAAGGAATTCCCTTGGACATGAAAACCCTGGTAGCTTCAGATATCCTTCTCAGGGGATAATGAAACTTTGATAGCCATGGACAGAGGTCTCAGCAGAGAAGTGTGGGACTTGGGTGCTTGTTATATACTTTTTGAATTTCCTATAAAGGTCATGTGTTTTTATTACTAACAAAACAAAACACTGAAAGAAAACACTCCCTTCTCTCAACCCCAAAGCCTTCTTTGAGTCTCAACTAAATGACTAAAGTGTTGATCCTTTAACATAAATGGTCTTTTATCACATCTGCTCTTCCAACACATCATATCATTCAGCTTAAACTTAACTCTTCACTACAACAAACATTTCTGAAGGAAAAAGTGATGGCGACATCTCTGAAATGCTCACTTTCCAGTGTGTTTCTTCCTATTGATGGAGCACCCTCTCTCTCCAAGGAGACATCTGAAAACTCTAACAAAGTATTTGTTGTAATCTGTCATTCACTTTATTTTACATTTACAAACAGTCTTTATAAGAATAAGAAGAAAAAAAGTTTTTCCAAAAAGTGTACAAGTACTTTCCAGAGTTTGCATATATTGTATTCTACCAGTTTATTTGTAAGATTGTTGGAATATATAACACATTTTCTAACAAAATAATGTTTAAAAATAGTTTATTTTGTTTTTTTTCTTTATTTGGATTAACTGTCCAAACTTAGTATAGTTTAATTGCATTATTTACTTTGGTGCCCAAAATATACTTTGAGCCACAAATTTGTATCAGGCACAAATTTAAGTGTTAGGGTTATAACCATTACAGTTGAATGCCCCCTCTAGTGTAAGCTTGGCCCACCTCTGAGTCTTCTGCAGTCACCTTGCACATTAAGTACCCATGTGGATGATTTTAAATAAATGGAACTGCAAGCCGAAATTAGAACAAGACACAAAGAATTCAGACTCAAACATTGTCAGGTAGCTTTCCACAGTTTTCAATCCTTGCTCCAGTTTGTATCCATGAATCCCTAACTTCCAGCTACCATATATTTATGCTAAGCCACTCCCAAATTAAGGGTTTATTGAAACTATCTTTACTGTGGCACGGGGAGATAGTGGGAGCCTAATATATCTGATGTCTCAAAAATTTACCTTTTTCTTTTTTTTTTTTTTGATACCAGAGATTGAACCAGGGGTACTTAACCTCTGAATCACATACCCAGCTCTTTTTATATTTTATTTTAAGACAGGGTCTAGTTGAGTTGCTTAGCGCCTCACTAAGTTGCTGAGAGGCTGGCTTTGAACTCACAATCTTCCTTCCTCAGCCTCCAGAGCCACTGGAATTACAGGTGTGTGCCACCACACCCGGCTCAAAAATTATACCATTTCTTAGAGAAACAAACAGATATTTAATAGAAACCTTTATTTCTCAAGGATCAAGGGGTAATGAGTTCACCTGTGTATTTACTTTAGAGAAGAAACAGTGGTCTGAAACCACCTTTGGTATCTAAGATATGTCATCTGAATATCTTATATGGATGAGCTATATAACATCATATGAAGAAAACTGTTTTCTTTTTATGGGACTATGTACTCACCCCAAATTCCCATGAATATTGCAAAGAATACTGTAGATTCATTATCAAATAAATGGGACAACTGTAAAAATAACAATAACAACATCACAAAGACCAGTTAGTATCAATTGCAATATAAAAGGAGGGAAATTCCAAGTTTTTTGAACATACCACAAAGTCTACATACCTTTGAACTCAAGCAGGTACTATTTAGTCTCCAATAATCACATACTTGATCACAGAGTGGGCACATGATCAATTGACCTCCAATTTCAGGGTCACAGATGTCAGTACTACCCGGAGAACAGTAAAGTTATTTTGAAGGCAATGTTTTACAGTGAAAGTCTAAGCTACTATTATTAGAACAACTGTTTATATAGATTCTCACATAGAAGAGAAGGAGCAATGAAGTAGCATTTTCTGTAATGGGTCAAGTTATATTTTGAGGAGAAAAATTTTTAAAGCACATCATTAAAAACATTTTCAAGAAAGCATCTGGTGAAGGGCAGCTTCTTATTCATACAGAGACTAGCTCACCAAATTTGTATGGTGTTTGGGTCCTCTTTGGAAATATCAGTTAACTGAGAGCATAGGGAAATATTTTGGACAAATGCCAGGGAAATAACAATATTTGTTTCATTTAACATAAGAAATATTTTCTCTGAGGAGCTCAGCTCTACTTACCTGGTTTGGTTAGAATCCATTAATAATATCCCATAAATAAGACAAGCTAAGCCAACTACAGCTGCAATTAGAAGCATTTCAGTGTAAAATCCCAAGAAAACAAAATAGATACCAATTTTTTCTCCAAAATAGTCCCTGTGAAAAAGATTAAAAAGAAAAATCAGAAATTAGAAGAATGGTGTAGTCTGGGGAGCTTCGGTTTTGTATTCAGACAGACATGCATTCTAATTTTGGCCCCACTGCTTTCTAAATGTGTAATTTTGGTAAAGTTCCTTAACTCTCTAAACTTACTTTCCACATGATAAAAAACAGGAAAATCCCTATCCCATTCTATGTGAATACATGTAGGGATTAAAAGAAGTAGCACATAGGAGGAGTTGCTTGAATATAATATAAATTTAAATTTTATATAATAAGATAATTTGAAGAGCTTCTAAATTTTAGAGAAATCAAGCATTTTTAAAATAAACTACAAAGTACTCTGAAATGAAACCTCTAGCAATTAATCTGACACCTTAAAATCATACTCATAATCTGCATGGATTTTTGCTTTACCTAATTTCTGACACTGACAATGGTACTTGGAACATACTGTAGGTATATATGATCATCTTCCTCCTAGTTTGGATCTCTAATGGAGGAACATAGGTAACTGATCAAGGAATTTAAAAGGACTATTTAATAAAAATTCCACCAAGTATAGTAGTTCAGCTCTTCCTTTATAAAGGTTTAATATTGAGCATAAATATTCAGGTCTCAAAATCAAGTTTGTTTTCTTTTTTAACTGAGTCCTTCTTTAGGAATCTAACAGCATAGTTTTCTCTGATTCAGAAAACCAGGTTTCATTGTTGCTTCTTACCTGGTTATTCTCCTTCTTATTCATACAGAGACTAGCTCACCAAATTTGTATGCTTTTCAACAGCTTCCTAGACAGTTAGATGTGATTAGTTTTGATTTCAAGAGCATGTTTATGAAAGCACTTAAATTTCAGTTTTCATACATGCATCCAGGTCTGTAAAGGTTTAATAAACATCATTTCCCAATGAGAATTTCAAATGTATTTCTCATATTAAATATTAGTTTTATTGAACCTCTCATTTTTCAAAACTCTTTTCTAAATAGGCTTCTTTCTGTTTGTATAATCTTCCTTCATTCTTTTCCGTAATAATAAGCATTTTGTATTTTTTCTCATGGTTTATATATTTTAAACTTTTATTGGATATTTTTATTATACATGACAATAGAATTCATTTTTATATCTTCATAAAAGCATGGAATATAATTGGTTCTAATTTAGTTCCCTGTACATCCCCACCCCTTTTCCTTCCACCTGTTCCCTTCCCTCTAATCTACTATTTTTCTGCTATTTATTTATAGTTTTTTTAAAAATTAATATCTTGTGGATGTACATGATGGTTTATTCACATATGTACATAGGGAAGTTAGGTCAGATATATTCTACTGTCTTTTCCTATTCCATCTGTCCTCTCTTCCCTTCATTCCCCTTTGTCTAATAATCTGGTCTTTCTTCTATTTCTTTTATGCCCATCTGCCACATATTTGGGATTAGCTTCCACATATCAGAGAAAACATTCTTTGATTTTTTGGGACTGGCTTATTTCAGTCAGCATGGCAGACTCCAGTTTCATTTATTTACTGGTAAATGCTATTAAGTCATTCTTCTTTATGGCCAAGTAATATTCCATTGTGTATACATTTTAAATTTTTATTTTCCCTATTGTTTTACAAATCACCATGACATGAAATTTAACTATAACACCATACTTACTAATCTACCATTCATAACTTCCTTACAGTTACTCTCAACTAGGGTGAATGGACTTGCTTTCTCCCAGTATTTTACTGAAACATATAATAATTACTATAATACTATATAACAATAAAATCAGGAAAAAAGTATATACTGTATTTTGTGGAAGATCATTTTCACCATGTTTATTTTCCTTTGAGGTTTTAACATTATAGAAGCAAAAATTTTAGGAGGTATAAGGTAATATTACTCCTATAGACATATAATTCCTCAGAAATTCAAAAGAAAACTAGATATTTCAACAACCTTATTTTTAAAAAATATTTTTATTAGTTATTAATGGACCTTTATTTATTTATTTGTTTATATGTGGTTTATATATTTGCCTCACAAATGCTAGGTGATCACTCGACCATTGAGCCACAACCATAGCCCTCAACAACCTTATTTTTAAAGGACAAACTGCTTTTATCTACCTTTCAGATTTCATGAATATTTTAAGGAGGAAAATAGTCAAGCACTTATTAGATAAAGTTATGAGAATTTATTGTATCTGGAAGTGTAGCAATTATTTTACTAAACTTTGAACTTAAGTTTAACAATAACTGATTAACACTTAAACTACTTTATAAGACATACCTTACATTTGTATTACAGTAAAAATACATAGATTATTGAAATAAAATTTAAGATGCTGCTTAACCTATCTTATTATTCACAACAGAAATAAATATAACAATATGAAACACTCTACAAAGTCTCAAATATACTGAGACTCCTTTCTTTTGAGCATTTCCTAGGAAAAATGTGCCATATATTTATATGTATATTATTTCTCAACCTGCTCATTTTATTTACTAAATGTTCAAATTGTCTCTGACCTTCTAATATCTAACAGCATCTGACAGAAGAGATTTAGTAATAATGGCTGTGCAATGATTATATGAAGTAATTAGTCTAATTTGGGGGAATGTACTGGGGAATGAACTCAGGGGCTTGACCACTGAGCCACATCCCCATTCCTATATTTCATTTAGAGACAGGGTCTCGCTTTGTTGCTTAGTGCCTTGCTTTTGCTGAGGCTGGCTTTGAACTCAAGATACTTCTGTCTCATCCTCCCAAACTGCTGGGATTACAGGCGTGCCACCATGGTGCCTGGTAGGATTAGTCTAATTTTGTAAATCCAAGGTGAAAAAATTAGTCTGAGGTAGTACAAAGAATTATGATAGAATCTGAGATAGATAGGATGTCAGGGAGAGACAAAAGGAGACCCTTGGTAGAGGGACCAAGATATGTGAGTATGATCAGCCACACCTGCCTCATTAGTTAGATGAATAAAACCTCCAGTGTATGCTTGTACCAGATTATCAATAATGAGAACAAATCAGTTTCAATGCCAGCAGATTCAAAGACCTACACAGAGTACCCATAAATGATTTATGACCAGACGGCTTTAACCAGGAAGAAACATTCTTAACCCTAAATATCAAATGATTGACATGGGATTTTTCACAAAAGCTTGTTAGGAAACCTGTACTTTTCTTCCCCAGAAAAATCCCATGTAGAAAATCCTATGTATGTCATTTGTCTTCTCTAAAGAGGCAAGAGCAGTCTGCACCCTGCCTTTGGGGTGTGCATATCTTTGCTTTAATCAATCTTTCTTGTGCCCTGCTTTCAATGTGTTCTAATTTTTTTTTAGTGGTATAAGTCAAGAACCCTCCCAGGCCAATTTGTGGACATACTGCCCCTTGGACCTTTGTCCAATGACAAATTGACTAAAATAGAGTCCCAAAGAAGGAATGAACAAATGCAAACATCCACTCTAAAAGAATTCATTTTCATAGCAAATTCATTGACAAATGAGAAACTTAGCTATTATATTATCTTGGAACTATAATAGTTCATTATAGTCATTGCGCTTTAATAGATAGTAATATAACATTTTATTTCTAAACAGTGAGAAAAAAATTATAAAGTTGTTAAACTGGCAAGGAAAAAAGGCTGATAGAGCATATAAAATTGCAGTTTAATATGACAATGACAGAAATCTTGGTATTAAAATTTCCCCAATATATTATTTAATACAATAAAGTGATCATTGCCCTAGTGACAGAAAAATCACTTATAAATATTCAGATGCTGGAATTGTAATTTGGTATGGAGATAACACAAACTATGTGAAATGTAGGAATTTATATTCCTATATTCTGAATCTCTTTCTAGACACCACAGTCATCCTGACTTCTCTATTATTTTCTACGTTCAGTCACCCACTAGATCCCAGGAATACTGCCAAACACACACAAAAAAAGTTTTATAATCCATGGTCTCTCCTCTATTCTGTTTCCAGTGCCTTGGATAGGATCTTCAATATTTATTGCCACAATCAACAGCCTCCTTACTTGCCTGCTTCAGTCTTTCTCCTCTTCTGGGTTTGCTCATTGCACCCCCAAACTATTATTTTATCCCAAAGATAAATCTTAACAGGATTTTTTCTTTTTTCTTTTTGTTTTTCAATCAAATCAAATTGAGTATGTTATGGTTTGAATCTTGAATTTTTTTTTCTAAAAAAGATTGTTTGAAACTACTGTCCCCAATACAGCAAGTTTCGGAGGTAGGGCTTTTAGGAAAAGATTGGACCATGTGAGATACAACCTCATCAGTGGATTAGTCATTTAAATGGACCACTGAGTAGTAACTGTAGGCAGGTGGAAATGGCTGGAGGAAGTAGGACACTGGAGGGGCATGTTCTTCAAGATAATATGTCCTTGGTGCCTCTCTCTCTCTCTCTCTCTCTCTCTCTCTGTATGTGTGTGTCTCTGTGTGTGTGTGTGTGTGTGTGTGTGTGCTTCCTGGCTGCCATGTTTTGAGCAGCTTTCCTCCCCAGCCCTTCTGCCATGATTTCTGCTCTATCCCAAACTCTAATCAATGAAACAGGCAACCATGAAGTGATACCTCTGAATATAAAGCAAATTTTTCCTCTTCAAACTTGTTTTTGTCACAGCAATGAAAAGCTGACTAACAGTATAATTCACATATGATAAATACACTTGGTTTAAATGCATAGTTCAAGAATTTCAAATTCAGGCTTTCATTTCATGTAATTACAATTCCAATCACATACACATCACTTCTATCAATTAAAAAGTTCCCTATAGCCCCTGAAGTTGACCCTTCCCTTACACCGAGTTCTGGAAAATGGCTATTCTAAAGTCAGTCCCTATTGCTGTGTCTTTTACATAATGATGTTTTTAAATGGAAACAGAGTATGTAGTTTTCAGTGGTTTGCCATGTTAATGCAACATCAGAGAAATGAAGATGTTGCATAAATTGTTTCTGTTTATTTCTGAGGGAAAATATCCACTGTATGAATGTATGATAATTTGTTTATACACTCATCAGTACATGGAGAGTTGTTTCCAGATTTTTATTATTAGAAGTTAGACTGTCATGAATATTCATATAATGATGCTTCTGTAGACATTTGCTTCATTTTCTCTGGTTATGCATAAGTGAAACTGCTGACTAACACAGAAACTATGCATTTATAAGAAACCTTCACACTGGTTTGTAAAGGTGCAGTACCATAATGTATTCCCACCAGCAGTGTTTGAGATTTCACATAGTGCTGCAGCCCTGCCAGTACTTCTTGTGAGTGTTTTGTGTTTTTTTTTTTTAACTTTAGCTGATATAGGGAGTAAAAAGAGATATCTCAATAACATTTTAATTTTTATTCCCCCTATAAATGATAATATTGAGCTTTTATGTACTTATTAATCATCAGTAAACATGATTGTTTGGGGAAGTATCTGTTGCAATCTTTTGTCATTTAAAATTATTTTGCCTTATTAGTGAATTATAAGAGTTCCTTAAGTACTATAGGTAAGAGTCTTCTATTATGTCTATTGTAAAAGTTTTCTTCTATTGTTTTGTAATTTGTCTTTTGATTTTTGTGACCATCTTTTAAGGAGACTATATTTTTAATTTTGATTAAATCAAACATATCGTTTTCTTATAGTGTTTTGGTGTCTTATGTGAGTTTATGCCTAACACAAAGTCATATAGATTTTTCTCTATACTCTCTTGAAAACACTTTCAGGTTTTCTTTTTTCTTTTTTTTTTTTTGCCAGGCATGGTGTCACATGCCTGTAATCCCAGAGGCTTGGGAGGCTGAGGCAGGAAGAATGCAAATTCAAAGCCAGTCTCAGCAATTTAGCAAGGTCCTAAAGCAACTCGGTGAGACCCTGTCTCAGAATAAAAAATAAAAAGGTCTAGGGTTGTGGCTCAGGAGTTAGACACCCCTAGGTTCAATCCCTGGTACAAAAAACAAACAAACAAACAAACAAAAAACACTTTGTAGTTTTTGCTTTTACACTTAGTTCTATGGTCCGCTTCTGTTCAAGTTAATTTAAATCTTCTTATGGTAAAGTATCAAGATTTATGTTTTGGATACACATATCCATTTGTATCAGCATCATCCCCATTGAATTTTCAGGTAACTTTGTTGATAATAAATTGATCATATGAGTCTTTCTGAACTCTCCTTTTGCTAAAGGTTTCATTTGGAAATGACTCAAATAACAAAGAAAAATTGAAAGTACAATTCATAGAATGCTCTGATTCTTTCATTGTAAGCATTTTGCTCCATATACATTTTCTCTCCCTCTTTTTATGGGTGTATATGATTGTCCACACATATATCTTTACCTGAACCATTTGAAAATAAGTTAAATACATTGTAGTCCTTTAACACTAATATTTCATTGTACATTCTTAAGAATGAAGATCCTTTCCATAACCACTGTGAGCAAATTCTAAGGATAATGGCTCTTTCCTGCAGTTGCTACTTCTGTGATAATGCAGTATTTTTTCTGTTGCCTTTTCAGTTATCTACTAAACACCTTTACTCAGCTATTGGTACTGAGAATAAATTTTCTGCTAATTTTTTTATTCTATTGTTGAAAATGAAACACTCTGCTTGCTATATATGGGAAATGATTAACAGGATGAAAAGTTTTATAGTTATTGAATTTAAGATACACACTGTCATCCAAAGGAATATCTGAACTTCCTTCTAGTTGCAAAAGGAAATTAGCAGGTGTTAACAAGATATTACAAATACACCAGCACTAATCGGAGACATAATGTGTCTACGGATCTAGGATTCTGAAAACCAACCCTGGGGAATACTTATTAAATGTCCACTTATGGTAGATATTTGAATAATGTTAGGTGAATAAAAACATTTTGAAAAATGTAAAACATGGAAACCCTCATTCTCACAACTTTGTTTCTTAAAAAAATCCTACTAATATATTCTCCAATAGCAGATATTTCTGACAACACTGAATGCAACAGTAAAAAAATACAGGACAATCTAATGTTTTTCACTAGAAAAACTCACAAATGCCCTATAAAATGCATAAAAAGTTATTGCATACTGTTAAAAAGTATGAGACAGATCTTTGTATATCTACCAAAAAGGATATTAGTGATATATTATTTAGTGGAGCAAAAGAAATTCTCAGCATCATAAAAATGATAAAAATGCCAAAAGATTATAACAGACACTTTAACAAATATTGCTTATGGATAGATAATCAGTACATCAAAAAATACCACAGGTGAAAATATATTTATGTATATTCTCTTATGCAGACACATAAAAATAGAACTAAATAGATATCACAAAGCAAGAGAAATTTGTTCTGTGGAGTTTGCCAGAAATGGAATTTCCACTTAAAATTTTTACATTTTTATTACTTAAATTTTTCATAAATGTGCTATTCTGTCACTTAAAAAATTAAATGATGATTTTTCAAAACTTAAAATAGTCATCCAAGAATGAGTCTGATTAATGATTGACAGAGTCACTGGCTATGTGAAAGTATCACAGTACAAGCATAAATTATATAAAAATACTGACTCTAGTGGCAGGGGCATCTGTAATCTGACTGTTCCTTTACTGATACCATAGCAGAGTCTCTCAATGGCCTGTGTACATGAAACATTGTTATCTTTCAACTTGAAAACCTGCAACCATATTGTTCTTGCGCAGTTAATAAAACTATCTGAAGACAGTTCAGGTTATTGAGCAAATGACTTACAGATCTCTAAGATCAATATACACACAAAAATCTACCTGTTACCTTCCTCCTATCTTCTAGATTCTCATACTATAGAAGAAAATCTACACTAATATGCACTGAGAAGTAAGTGCTGGTCCCAATGCTAGAAAATACATGTGTCTATTTAATTATTAAATAAATCCAAAAGAAAGTACTTTTGTTATTTTTCTTCTACAGATGACCCTCTTAATAGCCAAGTGATTTGACCAACTTTATATAACTTTTAAGAGGCAGAACCTGATGATCTCATGGATTTTGGCAACAATATTCTGCTCCCAAATGAATTACTTGATGGTGAAAATTATGAGACGGAGAAGATGTAAAATGTAATGGGTGAAAATGGTAGCAAAATGTAATAGCATAGTTTTCATTGTAAGATACTTACTTAATTAAATCTAAAGGCTGCTCCTTGTAAAAATAGGAAAAGCGTGCCCAATTCTGATAAAGTGTATACCTTTCATTGACAGTACTGGGAGGTTCTGCTGGCTTCCAATATTGGCCCTATAAATATTCAAGAAGAAGAAACAAAAGACAAAGTAAAAGACAAGGAAAAAGTAAATGAATGCTTTTTTTCCCCACCCCCAGGAGGTTAAAGGACAAGACTAATACTCTATTTTAGTTTTATATTTATGTTTCATATTCCACTGATGTGAATTTAATTACTAAAATCCATCAAAATTCATACTACTAGTGCTAATAGTGATTATTTACTAAGTTTTTACACAGCTAACTAAAAATATGAGTTAAAATTTGAGACTTGGCCTCTGCTCAAACTGTTCCCTTCACCTAAAATGCCCTGCCTTCTCTATTCAAGTGCTCTTTACTCATCTCAGCTTAGAGATTCAATTGCTATGTAGCCAGCTCAGAATTAAGAGATAGGTCAATGTTTTTATTCTATAGCTAGAAGAATTAAACCCAAAGCAGAGTTAAGTGAATGATCTAAGTCACACTGCTATGCCAGGAAGAGATTCTTGTACAGTTCTCTTTGGTTATCACCAATAATCACTTGCCAACAAATGTAAATTATTGCAAATTTTAGCACTTAAGAGCCTCAGTATTATCTCATGTATGACTTCCCTACCCATTGTTAGATACTAAATAGCTTTGCTAAGATCTCTTCCTGGCTAGGCAAATAAAATACTGTGTACAAATTTAGCTGTGTAATACATTCTGTTCTACTATTTATGTAGACAACTGAACTACTGAGGACCACATTGAATGCACACTATGTTTAAAATTTAGCACATGTGAAAATATATATGATAGAGTGTAAAATTTTGTACTGTACATATTCCAACTTCTTTCTTCTGTAGATTTCTACTGAATTTTGAGAAATAAAATTAAAAAGAAAAGAAATAAGTAGCCTATATAGGAATCTTGTACAAATGATTCTGTAAAGCAGATAAGGGAAAATCCAGTATGTCAACTTGCATTCAGAAGTGAAGGTAAGAAAAGTACAATTAATTGGCTGTTAAGTTATAGGTATCTCTAAAGACAACTCCATATCACTGAATTTCCAATGAGCATGACACTTGCTTAAAAGCTAGATGTATAGATTCAATTTGTTGGTGGGTGAGGATGTTAGTTTGGCCTCATGACATGACATAGAAAGAAGAGAATTAATGCCCTAAAAGTGAACAAACAAAAGTACTCAAAAAACAATAAGCCTTTTGTGAAGAAAGACTGACATAGAATGTGTTCAAGAATGTTCCTTAATCTACTTTAGATTTCTCTACTTTACCAAATGCCTATGGCATTTAGAATCCATAATCTCCAAGGAATGATTTTGCCCTGGGGGAAAAATATTTGTTTTTTGGTGTGGTGTGTTGGGTGGGGAGGTCATTACAGGAGGGAAAAGGATGGTTGAGATCTCTAAAACTTAAGTTAGGTGCAAATGAATTGATATTCTTATTCAAGATGGTCATGCATTTTGGAAAATTCTATTTTATTCTTATAGGAAACATGAAAATTAATAAACTCATCAGTGTCAAACTAGAGTGGAGTGAATTCTCATAGTATTGATTAATACAGGATGACACAGAAGATTGAGGAAAGTTTTTTACTTTGGGATTTTGGAAACTGTTGTAACAACACCACCTCCAGAAAATTGACAATGATTTATCTGCTACTTATTTCAGTGAAAATATTTGTTTCTTCTATATTGTCAAAGAATATGTTTCTTGCAAAGAGACTATCATCAAAAAGTCTTTAAGTACGGGAGATTAGAACTGGAATAAAAGAAAAGATCCAAGGGATGATCCCAAATTAAATTAAATGCACTATTGTCAGCAGATAGTGAAATGAATACACTGACTATCTAAATCAGTAGATTTCCCTCAGAAACCCCAGAAACTAGGGCTTGGTTGCCAGGCTGTTTTCAAGTTTGATTCAATGGGTACATCATGTAAAAAGTCACTTCCTTATGTAATCTATAAGTCTTAGTATTTTTTGATTTGCCAGTCCCAGAGAAGAATTCTTAATCTCAATTATTAGTCTGAATTGTTCTTATAGACTGAAACCTATAACTTGTAGTGCAGTAGTGTACAACCTTTATTTCTAGGAACTGCCTAGTCTGTGAGCTTGGACTCCTGGTTGTGTTCCAATAATACCTAGGAGAATGTTTCCATGTAACAGAAACCTATTATGTATTTGATTAATGAATACATGAATGAATGTAATCTAAATCCATCATGGCTTCAAAACTTTATGAGAAGCCAGGAATGGTAGCACACAAGTGCAATCTCAACTACTTAGAAGTCCAAGGCCACAGGATTACTAGTTAGAGGCCAGCCTGGTGAACTTAGATCCTGTCTCAAAATTAAAATTTTTAAAAAAGGGTTGGGGTTGTGGTAGAGTACTTGAGCATATGAATGGCCCTGAGTTCCATCTCAAGTGCTGTAAAAATAAAATAAAATAAAAGCTTTAAGAGAAAGACCTGATAAGTTCAGACAGAAATTTCCAAATATTATCTTCTAAAAGGTTGACTAATCTGACTATTTTCAAAATGGGTTTTTAAAAATTCATATGCAAATGCAATTACTTTTAAAAAATGAACTTACATTGGAAACCTCAGCATCAAGAGGCATTGGCAAGGTGTTTCAGCATAGCTGGGGGAGTTCTCAAATTGAGGTCTTCGGGAATTTTCCCATCATGAATGAATTAGTCAAATTTTAAGAAAAAAGAAATCAAGTGGATGACTCTATCTCACAACAAAACAATTTTCAAATGTAAGAGGAAATTTCAAAGCCAAATCTGTACTTACATCATGGAGTGGGTAGGCAGATGAATAGGTATTAGAAGTTAGCAGTCTATCAATCCCAAACCTTTTCTTCCCATCTTCTACGCCAAAAGGACACCGTGAGAGAATATAATATACCTACAAGATAAATACAAAAAGACTCTAGCACATTTCATAACTTTTATACTTTCTACATTTTTCAATCACTATTTATTTAACAATGTCCATTTTGTCTAAATGTAGACACAGGCTGAGATTACAGAAAGAAGCCTCGCTTGGTTGTTTTGGGAGAAGATACAGGATGTGGGGTTATAAGGACTCTGCAGATATTTCAGCTCCTGGTTCTGAGAGTCCCCTACCCTTGCAGTGGGGTCATGGGTGGATTGATTATAATGTAGTTTGGTTCTTTCATCTCAAGCTCCTCCAGGAGTCTTTTGTGTAGAATTCCTAGGATAGTCAGGATTCCAGATGGGAGTCTTTTTAATATATATTTATTTTTTAGTTGTAGTTGGACACAATACCATTATTTTATTTATTTATTTATTTATTTATTTATTTCTATGTGGTGTTGATGGTAGAATCCAGGGCCTTGCATGTGTTAAGTGAGCACTCTACCACTGAGCCACAACCCCAGACCCAGATGGAGTCTTAATATCCCCAACATTTCACTTGAAAAAATACAAAGTAGAATCAATATATAGCCAAGCTGTTTTGAATATTTCTTCACTTAATTACTATGATGATTTATGCTGGACCTTTACCTGTTATTATCTTGAGTTGAATTTATTGACTCAAGATTATCATAGGTCCACAACTTGCAACCACTTACATCTTTATATATATATTTTTTTCCTGTTTACACCTTGGGCCTTGGTTTCCCTTGCTATTGTATTTCTATCAATTCATTCTAATCTGCTTTTTGTCTTCAGGAACTTTTCATAACTTCTACTTTTATGATTGTTTAATTGGTCCTTCAGCACTATTTTAAATGCATTTCCCACTCTTTTATTTTACATTTCATCATTCAAGGACTTGCTGATTGCAATGTGGTGATTGTCCTTGAATCATCATTATCTAATGTGGTCCATTCGTTTCAAGGGAAGTTTAATATTCCATCTTAATAAAGAAATCATAATTTATGCAAGGTAGTTTTAATTTTGATAAACAGTGTAATGAAACTATTTTATATACTTTGGATTATTTCCTTAAGACATAGTCACCAAAATAAGAAGTTTGTCTTGAGTGAAAAAATTTGCTTTACCAGATGTTAAGATATATTACAAAGCAATGGTAATAAGTATAGTACTATTAAACAAGGAAAGCAGTATGGAGATTCCTTGGAAATCTGGGAATGGAACCACCATTTGACCTAGCTATCCCTCTCCTTGGTCTATACTCAAAAGACCTAAAAACAGTATACTACAGGGACACAGACACATCAATGTTTATAGCAACACAATGCACAATAGCTAAACTGTGGAACCAACCTAGATGCCCTTCAATAGATGAATGGATAAAAAAGATGTGGCATATTTACACAATGGAATATTATTGCAGAATAAAAGAGAATAAAATCATGGCATTTGCAGGTAAATGGATGGAGTTAGAAAAGATAATGCTAAGTGAAGTTAGCCAATCCAAAAAACCAAATGCTGAATGTTTTTTTTTTTTTTTTTGGATATAAGGAGGCTGATTCATAGGGGGATAGGGAGAGGAAATATGGGAAGAATAGACGAATTTTAGACAGAGTAGAGGGGTTGGAGGGTAAGGGAGGGGGCATGGGGCTAGAAATGATGGTGGAATGGGATGGACATTATTATCCAAAGTACCTATATGAAGACACAAATGGTGTGAATATACTTTGTATACAACCAGAGATATGAAAAATTGTGCTTTATATGTGTAATAAGAATTGTAATGCATTCTGCTGTCATATATAAATAAAAAAAGTTTTTCAAAGAAAGAAAAAATAAATAAAATAAAAATTTTTAAAAAAGATTATTCCAAGAGAGGGATGGCAACTATGACAATAGAAAGAATATTTTAACCAGGAAATCTTCAAACATCTGCAAGACCAGGCAGAATACTTTTAAATTTTCTTTTACAAAGAAGTAAGCAAGGATTAGGGAGAGTTTCTCCTTGTGTTAGGGAGCAGCTGCAGCTGTTCTACACATTAATGTTGGCTCAGGTTTGGCTCTACTAGATATTTCCTGATAGAAATAAAAGAGCAGGGAACATCATAGGCCAAGGTTTTGGTTCCTGTGAGGATGAAAAGTTAAGTTCCTTTATGTGAATTAACAAGGTCTTTGTTCTGAGGGACCAATGGTGCCAAACAATTAAACTAACCCTTTATGAAACAAAGACTGAGAATCTGAAAGGACTGTGGCAGCTTTTGTTACTACAAAATATTGAAAGGGATAAATTGTGAGGGTAAGCCAAACTTCTAAAATAACTGAATTTTCCCTGGTCCCAGAAGGGAAATGCCTTACCTTCTTTATCTCTTCTTTTGTGATGAATATAAATCTTTATAAAGCTAAATAGGCATCTCCTCAGTTTTACAAACTAACAAAGTCTTTCTTAAGTTTCCTTGGAGCTATTTATTTTAAATATATACAGCAACAAACCTGATATCATTTTTTTTATCTCTGAGTTTCTGTGGAGGTTTAGCCTGGATACCTGATTCCAAGCTGTAACTACCACTTGACAGAAAGAAGTTTCATTTTTTTCTTTTCATAAAAGCAATGCACTAGCATAGTCTGATGGTTCAATTTCCAGGTAAATTTAGGATAAAGCACTGGATAAATGGTGCTGTGGAATCAAACTGATGAGATGGTAGAGGTATCCCTGAGTATCAACTCAATCACATGAGGAAGAATGGCTTTTTCAGTGAGTTTGTTCCCAGAAAAAAAAAAAAAAGTATAGGGGATTTCCTTAACTGTTCCTGCTTTCCAAGACTACAGAACTCTGGTAAATTCATTTTAAAAATAATAAAAAGATCAAAGGCACAGATTAGAGGCTAGAAGTAACCTATGAATTTGTGGTGTAAAAGAAATATGAAAGTTGTCAGAATCAAAATGGAGTCACTTGTGTTAACCCTAACAACAAACTCGAAATAAAACTGGTAGGTTACATAGGAAGGATTCTTCTTCATGATTGCCTGATATTGTCACAAAAGGCTATCAGAATCATTTCTCATTAGAAATTTGCCCTTGCCTCAATTTCTTTGAATATACTCATAGTTTAGAATTGAATACATATACCCAAATAAATATCTTATTGTTTGGAGAAGCTCTGATTATTTAAATGTAGGTTGACAGTGGATATTTGAGTCATGACAAAGGTAGCACTGTAAAACAGTATGAAAAGTTGAGTGTTTTCAGTAATTGTTACAAGTTAGCTGACCATAGACAACGGGGAAAATCAATTACTATTTTCTGCCATGCACAAAAATTAATCCTAGGTAAAGAGTGGTTCTCAGTGGGATAAGTGAAATAATACAGGCATGCCTCTGAGATATTGTACAACACAGATCAGACCACTGCAGTAATGCTACACAATTTTTTTTAGTTTCCCAGTGCATATAAAAGTATCTTTATAGTGCACTATAATCTATTAGTTGCACAATATTAGTATCTCCAAAAATAGCAATTGCTATACCTTAATGAAAAATATTTAATTGCTAAAATATGTGAATAATAATATTGCATTCAGTTGAGTCGTAATCTCTTTCCTGGTGGAGGCAAGGGCATGTTTTTAATGAGAAAAATGAAGGGGATTATTTAAGATATTTTGAAACAATAATCCCTGGCCACTATGATTAATATCAAAAGTGGCTTCTGTCTGAAGTTGAACACACAGTTCTGGGCAAGCATATTTCCTTATAGATGTATATTTTTAATAAAGTTGTGGTGGCCTCTCTGCAAGTGTGTGATTTGGGGACTTTTTTACATTAATCTTCCAAATGACTTGTGTAATAGAACAAGAATAGTAGTTGTCCCTTCTGAAGAAGGGGAATATAATTTAATGTTGAATTAGTCTATATTGTCACTGTTTATATGGAAAAGAAACATAAAAAAAGAGTAACATTTGTGTCTGATAAAGATCCCATTTCATTCCCGTGTGTTCACTGTTTTTTTTTCCCAAACTTTAAATGGGACAAGTATTATTAAATTACAGTTTGCAGAGTGCTTTGCATATTTCCTTCAATTGATTTTCACTATAACACCAGTATAATCATTATCATTGTTTCAAGAAGTTCTCTTTATTTAGTTATCTTATTTCAAAGTGACAGAGTTATGAGTTGATACCAGGGCATCTGATTCCGTGTCTCATGCTTTCATGTCCTTAGTGGTTGCCTCTTAAGTTTTTTTTGCTGATTTTTAATATTGGTATAAAAAGGAAGAAAACTTTCAGTTTGTGAATTCATGTTTTCATACCAAAAATCCTAGGAATTACATTTTAATACTCCCTTCAATGAACCTTTAACTAGGAATAAAATGGAACTAAGCTTCTCCTCTGGTCAGAAAAAAAAAAAAAAAAAAAAAAAAGCACATCACCTCAAGGCATAGACCTTGAGATTTTTAGAAACCAGGTGGTTGAATTAGTATGCAACAATGTATAAGGGCAACACAAAACCTGAAATTTTCCTCTGAAGTCAAATAATAAGGATAATATCTAAAATTTGTTGAACATTTGACATGTGACATGTACTGTTCAAAACTTTTCATATCTTAGCTTCTTTAATTCTTAGAGTAATCTGTGAAGTGGATACTGTCCTAATTTAAACACAAAGAAACTGTGGCACAGAACCTTTAGTTTTTTAGGAGACAGGTTTTTAACCGGAAGCTTAAAAGATCCTAGTAGTACAAATGGAGAGGAAATATTGATTCAAAAGGCTGAAATTTAAATTGGGGGAGAAAATTCTGAGATTTCTCAAATTCTATCTCTATATAAATAAACTGAAACATTAAAATTTTACATGAAATGATCAATATTCCTCATACTATTCACTGATTTTATAAAACCAGACTTGAATATTATAAGAGCAATCTACAAAGATCATATAAAATCAAAGTCCTCTGGCTCTCAGTTAAGGGATTTGCTAGGATGGCATGATTCTATTTTTATTACTATATCCACAGTGTCAATGACTCATTTTTTAAATGAAAAATTGAGAGGCGTGGAGGATAACAGGTTTAAGTGAGCCAAACAGATTTTCCAACCTCCCCAATACTGCCAAATGCTTATATCCTACACATAGTATTGTACATGCACAAATATAAAAGCACACATAGTCACACATGCCATAGTTGGAGAGATGTGCAAGATCTTTTCTACCTACAATTCTGTTTCTTGATGAGGATGGAAAGAAGGTTGCTTCATCTTCAATGAGGAAGAGCTCCTGCCGATGTCTGCTGAATTGGGCAGTGAAATATTCAGGGCGAGGAAACTTCACTTCCTGTGGGAGCCTCACAGGCCCGAGCATATAACGCAAAGGGCTGTTCTCAGTTCGGGGAATATCACTCTCCTTAACAGGCATTTTGATTCCCAAAACTTCTGCATAAGTAACTAGTACCTCCCAAGGTGCATGAATCTTGACAAAATAAGTTCTTCCATCTTCTGAGTCCTGAATAAAATAAAGGCAAAATCAGTAAGCTTACTGATCATTTGTTATTGAGCTGATTAAAGAAACAAAACTTAAAAAAAAATCAAAGATGTCAAAGCATTTTAATTTGTTGAAAAACTATAGCAAAATTTTTACAAAATTAATCTGAAAACAGATATAAAATACTTATACATTTATAAGTTTATGTTATATATGTATATACACATACACATGCGTGAGACAGAGACACAGAGAAAATGTTTTTTAAAATATATTACATGACCCATCAACATGCAGCCCTAAATACACAGCCACACATGGTTATGAACAATTTCTGAATAAAACTTTTTTTCCTTGGTCCTGGGTATTGAACCCAGTGGACGCTTTACCACTGAATCAAATCACCAGCCTTTTAAAAAAAAATATTTATTTTTTAGGTGTAGTTGGACACAATACCTTTATTTTATTTATTTATTTTTTTATGTGGTGCCAAAGTTCGAACTCAGGGCCTCGCACAAGCTAGGAGAGCACTCTACTGCTGAGCCACAACCACAGCCCCTCACCAGGCTTTTGTTGCTGTTTTTTTCTTTTTTATTTAGGACAGAATCTCATTAGTTGCTTAAGGCCTAGCTAAATTGCTGAGGCTGGCTTTGAACTTGTGATTCTCCTGCTCAGCCTACTCCATCACTGGGATTACAGGAATGTACCACAGTACCCAGCTGAAATGGCTAGCTATAAACTCAGAATTCTGCTTAGTTTATATAAGGGATATATCCAAACTATAAGATGGTCTCACTCTTCTTATCCAGCTTTTGTATAAAGCCTACATGAAGATGAAGAGCTTTAGATAATAAAGGTCCATCATATAGCAGAATAAATTACAGATGTGTGCTGTAATATACATTTTTAGCTAGTAAAAGTAGGAGAGAAATAAGAACTAAAGAATATTAAATTTAAAAAGCATTAGAAATATATAGACAGGGTGGGATCCTAAATGTGTCTTTAAAAACAATTTTAAAAGTGATTCTAGAAAAATGGTGAAAGACAGGGATTAAATATTAAAAACTTGGTATATTCATGAACAGTGCATCTTGACTTATGCTGTAATATATCCAGTTTAACTACTTAATGTACCAGATTATAGACAGTCTTCAAAATAAGGATGAACCTAAGACCATGTCTTCACTTCTTTTGTAACCTGGAAAGATATATTATGTATGCTCATTTTAAAGTGTTTTACTGGTCTCCCAACATTCTAGAGGGCATTCAAAATATATATAATTTTTTTAAAAAATTGAGAAAGTAACTCTTATTCCTAATGTAGGAACATATGATTTTGTAAACCAGATGATTACCCATTCTCTGAATTCAACAAAAATAATAGCAGAGCTAATACAACTGCTAGGTGAAAGATCCTAAAACATTATTTTAAACATTAAATCACATGACTATATGCTGAGTTCTGTATTTCTAATATAAATTAGAAGTTCAAAAGATTAACACTGTTATGACAGTACTTCTAATCCAATCTTTTTACTTTATTTGAACAACCTTCCTTTACATTACTGACCTGTAAGACCATAGACACTACCATGCCCAGTGCAGACAGCTGATACATAGTGATCTAAACACAAAATATACCCACTTGAAGGCCGGAACAGGAGAAAACAAGACTTAAAACATAAAATTCTCATATAAATTATCAATTACATTTACCCTTTTGTCTTCAATTTCCAACTCAAGACCTGTTTTTCTGAGATTTTGTTCAAACTCTTTTCTTCTTTCCTACAGCAAAACAAGTAAATGAATGTTTTTGTATTTTTTGCTCAGTGCTATGCATACTCAAAATACAAAGGCTGTGCTCCAGACTATTCTGGCCCTCTCAGCTTTGTCTATAAATGTACTCTATGTAATACCCCCATCTTAATGTCATGTGTTGCTTTTTACCTATGCATAAACATAAAACATAAAATACAATACATGGAGGAATAATCTCTAAGAAATATGCAGGATCTCTATTTGAAGAGGCATATAAAACTACTGAATAACACAAAAGTTTAAAAAGCCCTCACAAACAGAGAGACATATCATACTCCTAGTTAGAAAGACTCAACATTACAAAGATCAGTATTCTTGATATAAATTATAAATTTAATAAATTTATAAGACAAATATCATCATGACTTTTTAATCTTAAAGAATAGAATAGTTTCTTAGAAAAAAGTGCAGCCAAATTTCACTATAGGTCATTATTGTAAATAATAATTACTGTGTGGTTTAAAACTATGTATTGATGCTCCAAATTTTTTTGGCCTTAATTACGATTTAAGTGAGAAGAATTTCAAAGTGAAAAAAAAAATTGTTAAAAGCCTTACTAGGATATTCTAGGACATTCATTGTCAAATAGGCATGTCTACCTTGAAGTTTCTGTAAAATTTTCATAGAATAACAAATAGCTTTAATATGTTGTTCTTCTCCACTTCCTGGGTGGTTGAACTAGGCCTGTGATAACACTGCAAATTCTCCTTCTTAGCTACATTTTCATCATTGCTCTTTTGCAAAATAAGGCATACACAAACTTCCAGAAAACCAAAGATCGGATGGGGGACTCAACTATTGCTTTCAGTATTGATAAAGTGAATAACTCTTCTTTTAACTGCAGAAACACTTTGTAAATCACATGGTTATCCATTCTCTGAGTTCAATAAAGCTGATAATAGAGTTCATTAAATTGTTATCTGACAAATCATAAAACATTGTTTTAAACATCAAATCATTTTTGCAGAAGTTCAAAAAAGATTGACACTGTTATACTAATACTTTTAATACAATCTGTTTACTTATGTAACCAACCTTCCTTTATTGTAAAATATATAAAAATGAAGAATATAATCCAAGCTGAACCACCTCATCCTAAGATTAATTTTTATTCATGCATGAATATAAAAAACTAATTAATCAATGTATATATAACATGCTTACTTTTAAAATAATTACTTGTTAAATTTTGAAATATACTCATGGTTTTCAATTAAGCACTAATACAATTATAAAATAATTCAATACAAAAAGTTTAAGACTCAGAATATTATAAAGACAATAAAAACATTTCAATCAATATAAATATGGTTTTGTAGCAAAATAATGATTAACTGAATAATAAAAATACTCTCAAGAATAAAACATGCTAATACCACCCTGCTGATCCATGCAGGAGCCAAGGCCAAAATTAGACCCAGGACTGCCCTGCAGACAGCAGACAGACGCAGAAACCTAGGCCTAGCCCGCCTACATCTTGGGACACTAGAGCCATCACCACAGCCTACCCCACACAGTAGCCTCTACCTTGGGACAATAGATAGGGTCTAAAGGCAGCTGCATCTCTGAACAGGCAAGACAACCTTTCAGCCCCATCTCTAAAAGTGGTTGCAGCCATCTTGGGATACAGCCACTACTATCTTGAGTTACCTCTACTATTGCCACCATCATCTTTAGTTGCAGTAGCATTTATCTTGGGACATCAGCCAGGGACTAGAAGCCCAATACCAAGGTAAAGTACAGGTAATCTGCAGGGAAACTACAAGATCATAGGGTAGAAACTGTAATACATCAGATCTGCACTGCAAGAAGGAAGACACAAAGAAAACATGAAAAACAAGGGAGGAAAGTGCCCCAAACAAACCAAGATACTACATTAATAGAATTCATGGACAGAGCAATTGATGAAGTGTTAGAGAAGGAGTTCAGAATGTACATAATTAAGATGATGTATGAATTAAAGAATTACCTAAGTGAGCAAATACAGGCAAGAATCCATCATTCCAACAAAGAGATAGGAACAAATACAGGTAGCAAAAGATTACTTCAAAAAAGAGACAGAAATTCTGAAAACAAACAAATAAAAAATAATCAGAAGTCCTTGAAATGAAGGATACAATAAATCAAATAAAAAACTCAATAGAAAACATCACCAACAGACTAGATTACTTGGAAAACAGAACTTCAGAAAATGAAGACAAAATATACAATCCATAAAATAAAGTTAATCACACAATGAAGATGGTAAGGAACCATGAACAGAACACCCAAGAATTATAGAACAGCATAAAAAAAAACTAAGATATATTGGGATACAGGAAGGCACAGAGATTCAAACCAAAGGAATGCACTATCTATTCAATGAAATAATATCAGAAAAATTCCCAAATATGAAGAATGAATAGGAAAATCAAATACAAGTGGCTTAAAGGACAGCAAATGTACAAAATTACAACAGATCCCACCAAGCACATTACAATGAAAATGCCTAGCATACAGAATAAGGATAGAATTTTAAAGGCTGCAAGAGAGAGGAATCAGATCACATATAGGGGGAGACCAATTCATATCAGTAGATTTTTCTACCCAGACCCTCAAAACCAGGAGATCATATACCAAACTCTGAAAGAAAATGGATGCCAACCAAGAATCTTATATCCAGCACATTTAAACTTCAGATTTGATGATGAAATAAAACCTTTCATAATAAACAAAAGGTAAAAGAATTTACAACTAGAAAGCCTGCACTACAGAGTATTCTCAGCAAAATATTTGAGGAAATAAAAACAACAATGAAAATCAGCAAAGGGAGGAAATACACTAAAGGAAAGGCTAATCAAAGGAGAAACCAAGACAAGTTAAAAACCAAAAATAAACCAAAATGACAAGGAATACAAATCATATTTGAATAATAACCTTGAATATGAATGGCCTAAATTAATCAATTAAAAGACATAGATTGACAGATTGGATTTTTAAAAAATGACACAACAATATGCTGCCATCAAAAGACTCATTTCACATTCCTTGGACAGCTGGGAATGGAACCACCATTTGACCCAGCTATTCCCCTTCTCGGACTATACCTAAAAGACCTAAAAAGAGCATACTACAGGGACACAGCTACATCAATGTTTATAGCAGCATAATTCACAATAGCTAGATGTGGAACCAACCCAGATGCCTTTCAACAGATGAATGGATAAAAAAAAAATGTGGCATTTATACACAATGGAATATTATTCAGCACTAAAAAAAAAATAACAAAATCATGGAATTTGCAGGGAAATGGATGGCACTAGAGCGATTATGCTAAGCGAAGTTAGCTAATCCCTAAAAAACAAATGACGGATGTCTTCTCTGATATAAGGGAGGTGACTCAAAACAGAGTAGGAAGGAAGAGCATGAGAAGAAGATTACCACAAAACAAGGAAAAGAGGTGGGAGGGAAAGGGAGGAAGAAGGGGAATTGCATGGAAGATGGAAGGAGACTCTCATGGGTTCACAAAATACATATACGATGGTGTGAGGGGGAAGGGAAGGAAAAAAAAGAGAGAGAGAAAGTGTCACAGTAGAAAGGGTAGAGAATAGTGATTGGAGGGGAGGGGTGGGGAGGGGGGATAAGGAGGACAACAGAATAAACTGACACTAGGATTGCTGTATGTATACACATGGATGTGTAACCAATGTGATTCTGCAATTTGTACATGTGGAAAAATGAGAATTCATACCCTATTTGAATCAAATGTATGATATGTCAAGATCATTGTAATGTCTTGAACAACTAATAAAAAAAATGAGTAATGGACATAGGTAAAGCATCTTTAAAAAAAAAAAAAGACTCATCTCACAGGAAAAGACATCCATAGACTGAAGGTGAAAGGGTGGAAAGAAACGTACCATTCACATGGACCACATAAACAAGCAGGGGTTTCCATCCTCATTATCAGATAAAGTGGGCTTCAAACCAAAACTAGTGAAAAAGAAGGACAGTTCAAGGTGTAGGCTCTCTCTTCACCTCACAGATTGTTTCTTTTGCTGAGAAGAAACTTTTTAGTTTGAGTCCATCCCATTTATTGATTCTTGATTTTAATTCTTGTGCCAAAGGATTCTTATTAAGGAAGTTGGGGCCTAATCCCACATGATGGAGATTAGGGCCTACTTTTTCTTCTATTAGACGCAGGGTCTCTGGTTGTATTCTTAAGTCTTTGATCCATTTTGAGTTGAGTTGTGTGCATGGTGAGAGATAGGGGTTTATTCTCATTTTGTTGCATATGGATTTCCAGTTTTCCCATCTCCATTTGTTGAAGAGGCTATCTTTTCTCCAATGCATGATCTTGGAACTTTTGTCTAATATAAGATAATTGTAGTTTTGTGGGTTAGTCTCTGCATCCCCTATTCTATACCATTGGTCTACCAGTCTGTTTTGGTGCCAATACCATGCTGTTTTTGTTACTATTGCTCTGTAGTATAGTTTAAGTTCTGGTATAGTGATGTCACCTGCTTCTCTCTTCCTGCTAAGGATTGCTTTAATTATTCTGGGTCTCTTATTTTTCTAGATGAATTTCATGATTGTCTTTTTTATTTCTATGAGAAATGTCATTGGACTTTTGATCAAAATTGCATTAAATCTGTATAGTGCTTTTGGAAGTATGGTCATTTTTTATAATATTAATTCTGCTTATTCAAGAGCAAAGTAGATCTTTCCATCTTCTAAGGTCTTCTTTGATTTCTTTCTTTAGGGTTCTATAATTTTCATTATATAGATCTTTCACCTCTTTTGTTGACTCTCAAGTATTTTTTTGAGGCTATTGAAAATGGGGTGGTTTTCCTCATTTCCCTTTCTGTGGATTTGTCACTGATATACAGAAATGCCTTTGATTTAGGAGTATTGATTTTATATCCTACTACTTTGATGAATTCATTTACTAATTCTAGTTTTCTGGTGGAACTTTTAGGGTCTTCTAG